GCACTCCTAGGCAGATCTCAGAAACGGGTGCTTACACGGCAAGGGAGGACACCGGTTGCCGGCCGACCCAATCTACCTACCTTCTTTCCGGTCTGTGGGCAGAATCCAGAATCAACCAACCCACATCCTCGCCACGAACCCTACAGCCCCAAACTAGCCTGACCCCCCCCCCCCCCCCCCCNNGCACTCCTAGGCAGATCTCAGAAACGACTGGCAGTTTGGAAGGCAAGAGAGGACCAGAGCGAGGAAGCAGACACCATTCGCGAAAACGGTCAACCCAATCTACCCACCTTCTTTCCGGTCTGGACAGCAACACCAACCGCACCCCCGCCAGAGATAGCAGACCTTCAACCCAGACTCCGATCTCCGCCGCGAAGTCTACAGCCCCAAACTAGCCTGACCTCCGCAATGACACCTTCCAAGTCTGAGGTGCTGGTAATTTCGCTATTCATCGCGTTGCAGCTGTCCAAGTATGCCTCAGCAAGGCGCAGAAGGAGCAGGCGCCTCTTGCTTTCAACCTTTCGGGGTCCGAGAACCTGAGGACTGCGGGAGAACTACAGAAAGTACATGAAAGTACAGGGTTCTCCCGATCCACCAGAAGCTACCACTTCGGGGTTTTACATCCCCCGCCGGAGTCCAGTCTCGGCAAGCAGCGAAAATTGACTTGAAGCTGAAAATCCGGAAGGTCCAGGAGCCGACGGGGCGCATCACATTCCTTGCCGAGATGGCCGACGTCTTTTGTTGATTAAAGCTGATTCTGTGACGACTCTGTTGCTCCCTACAAGCGCGCGTCGCTCGTCCTTTGGTGCAGCCCTTACCTTATTGCCGCTGTCGTGAAATCCCAGTCTTGCAAGCGGCCGGCTCATGTCCCGGATTTTAATCTTGTTCTGCGCTCGAGCAGCATGGTCTCCAGGCACATGAGAATCGCCCCGCAGCTGAAGAAAGCGGAGCCAAAGAGCGAAGGCCAAATGCTCAGGGCCTTACAAAGCTCGGGCATTTCGATCGCATCTCATGATCGCCGCAAGCAAGTAGTAGTAGTAGCAGGAGTAGTA